TCACTTAATTTCCAAAAACCAAGCTGACGGTATTTTTCAGATTTAATATGTTGTATGAAAGTATTGAATGACATGTTGAATAAAAGTGGACTGAGACAATCGCCTTGAAGAACGCCACGACCGACTGTAATGAAGGGGGTGTTCGGTTATGATGGAAGTTTGGAAATCAGTGTAAAGACTGCAGATAAGGTTCTTTATGTGATTAGGAACGTGATGATAATCAAGGACTTCGTAAATGAGGTTATGATGGACTTCGCCAAATGCATTTTTAAGATCGAGTAATGTAATAACTATAGATCGTTGCTTGGTACGCGCTGTGTTAATTATATGTGCCATCTGAGCAGTATGTTCTAGTGTTCCTGAGAGTTTTGGAGTGAAACCTTTCTGGATGTTTTGTTCTATGTAATTATTGTCTGACAGGAATTCAAATGTTTTATTTCGAAGACATGATGTGAAGACTTTAAGCGGGATGGATTCAAGAGTAATTGGTCGAAAGTTTGCTGGGTCGTTTGTTTCTCCTTTCTTGTGAATTAATATTGTGCATGCTTTTTTCCATTCAGATGGAACAACACCGCGTGACCAAGCTGCATGGATTATCTCAGTCAAGTAGAAACGTAGATACGGACATCGTTTAAAACAGATTATTGATATCTGATCAAGTGGGCATGGTGAGCCAGACAGTTTCATTTTACGTATGACGTTTGTAATCTCTTGATAGGTCGGGGGGTCAAGCTTAAAAGGTGTTTGAGGAGAAGCAAATTTTGGGATCCAACTAGGAATATTGAATGTTTTATTTGGGTTAATCGCGGAAAATGTTTTGGTAAAATAGGATGTACATTGCGCTAAATTAAATGATGGAAGTGAACTGGTATTCTTTTTGAAAATTTTTTTAACGTAACCCCAGAATTTTTTACCAATTAGATTATCGTGATCAATGTCTGCAGATGCATGACTATCAGAATTATTTAGTTCCGTATTATTTGACTTATTAAGGAGTATGCGCAATTTCTTCGCGACAAATTTTATCTCCAGAATACTACCGTTTTCCAGTTTTAATTTCTTTAAAGCTTTTTTTAAATCCTTTGTTGAAAATGTTTGGTATTTTCTTTCGAATTCTACACTGCTATTGTTATCAACATGTCCAAAATTCCCACTAAAGTAATTGTAGACGACGGTTACCATGGTATTGATGTTGTTATTTAGATCATCCGGTGTGATTGGATGATTCAAAAAAGTTAACTTGAAAAAGTCGTTGGCAGCAACCTCGTTCCCAGGCTATTTGCTCTTGGGAAGCAAAGACCCTGGTCGGAGCTGGTCACGTGAACCCCCAGATTTTGGGGGTAAATTGAATTTGACCTCAGGGAGGGGTAGTAGAGGAGTCTGTTTGTTGCGTTTGGAAAATTGCAACTTTATGTGTTATAATTTCGGGTGATAAAAATGTAAATTGCAACAAGAGATTGTGCAAGGAACTGTTCTAAATTGTACCGATCATGTACTGAATGTCATCAATAATAAGTGTTGCGGTACATTTCAAGCGAGAAGCTGGATCATATTTCACTTACAACGAAAACACTCCACACACGCCTGGCTTGCAAAGTTTAGCACGTATCGCCGTAGAAACATACAGATCTTCTACACAGAATGTCGATCAAACGGTATTAAACGAACGATATGGTTCTTTATAGTTGAAGTGTATCCTGTCCGATATTCAAAACAAAAGATTTATTTTATAACGGGATCCTTTGATTTCCCAAACATCGCCAACATGTGTAAACAATAGTGCTATTCTGACTGTAAAAGCACAGGATTAAAACCCGTTATGGACTGGCTATAAAATTCATTTCATTTACATTGCTGAAACTCAACGATCAAGAAAGATAATGTCGAAGTGTAGCTAGCTATCTGTTATCACACAAACGCCAAGACTCCTACATGCGTTTCCGTGCGTGCGGACAACTTGAATATCTAGGACGATATATGCACCAGACACTGGTATTGTACTTTATATAAATTATTTCATATTTTGTGTATACAGTAATTTGCAAATGTATAATATTAGACCTTTCATTGACACTGGCATTGCCCATTGAGGGCTTTATTGAAGAATAATCCAGCTTCTTTAGACTTGTATAATGGATTAATGCCGCTGTGAGTTATCAATATTTAAATCAACTTTAATCTTTATCGTATTCCGTAACCGGCCTTTTAGAAGTTTAGTCTGTTTTACCAAACAATACTGGAGGCAAACAACCTATCTATCACATGATGGAAACTTTAAAAGGTTTGTTACAGTAAAACTCATTAATATAACTATATAAGCGAGACTTCGTGTGCATATGCAGTTTATGAATTATGTATATCCTGATAAAACGTAGGACGCTTTATAGTTTATGCCAGATATAATAAAAAATACTTTGCTAAACCTTTTCTGCTGTCATTCCTTTGCATTTAAGGGGAGAGGGTAAATGGCGATAGAATTTATAGGAGATGCTGGTGCAATATTTTGGCTTCAACAAACAGGTACTCGTGCAGACAAAAAAGAAAATTCATGCAGTTGTGAATTGTCGTATATGTCAGCTGTGCACTGTCCATTTCAAACAATTTTGTACGTTATATTTTGTCTTCCTGGTGTTTAATATAAACGATGATAACCTTTTAAAAAATCTAGAGCAATATGTCTATAAACAGTTTTAGAATCAAGAGAATGGACATTCAATGTGTATTTGGCTTGTGTCCAAATGTGTCACGTACTTTAAGACCGGCAAGACGCTAATCCTATGACCTATAAACAGTCGCTTTTGAGACATCTGTTTAACAAAATTTATACCGTGTCCATATTAGAACAATTCATTGGCATATTATAAGCGTATTATAAAAACCAGAGCCAGAACAGAAACGCACGCGTGAAATGAAACTACGCCCGAATCGGCGAACCCCGAGAAAATAAAAATATTTCAAAGCGTACAGTCATACGTTCTCGTTGCTTGATTTCCTGAATTTTCTGTTGCTATAAGAATCTGCATTTTAAAAGTATAATTTAAAAGCAAACAGAAACCAATTTAGCAAATAGTTTGAGGTATATATGATTCTCGAAGATGAATGAGATGATTGTACAGAACGGCCACTCCTTGCAATCGAAGTGCGAAGTGCGGAAGTGGAAACATGTAATATGAGACTTTTCCATCCCCCTCTTGGGCTATCAATTTTGTATGGGTCACGTGACCAGCTCCGACCAGGGTCTTTGCTTCCCAAGAGCAAAGAGCCTGGGAACGAGGTTGCGTTGGCAGTTGACCATTGTAATGGCGATTTGGGTAGTTTTATCCCCCTTTTTAAATCGGGAAAGTTTTCTTGGGTGTTCAAAGGTGATATTTCAGGGTTAACTGGGTCAGTGTTATCCTCATGATTGTCGTCGTTCAATGCTTCAGTCATTTGTTGTTCCAGTTCGTCTTCAAGGTCGTCAATAACTCTACAGCTTCGTTGGTGCATTTTAAGTCCACGAGCACCTTTGCAGACTTTACCACAGCAACATTTGACTGCTTTGCAAGATTTTACAGGTAGACACATTTGTGTAGGCATTTCCATAGCAGGATTAACATTCAAAGTGGATTCTCGTTCGTTCCCAACTTTACTTTTACACCGCCACGAGTGACGGCCTAACGATTCAAATTCCTTGCCACAAAATCCACATATTATTAGCGTTGAAAATAACGCAAGCAAGCTTGCACGAATCATACTTGATTAATTTTAGGTATAAAATTCAAAATGTATCGTAATTATATCAATTCAAGTAAAATTTTTCGATGAAACCGAGGACATGTACAGAGAGCGTATATACGCGACTGCTCGATGTCGAAATAACAATAATAATAATAATAATAATGTATAGACCACTATACATTATATTTCGTTTCCACTGACTTGTCAGTGTGACTCACTGGTGCCGGAGGTATGCCTTGGCAGAATGTCCAGAATTGTCATGGCTATCTCTTTTTGCTGCTAATATTACTGATTGTTACTCTCATTGCTACGCAGCTGCTATGGCAATACTTCGTGCCATCAAATCTAGTTACAGCCTTGGACCACAAACGGCACCTGGCTCCAAACACTAATATTAATTCTCTGTCGTTAAACATGGTTACAATCGCACAGACCAAATGGAAACCTGATTTTAGAGTTATATATGAAAATACCCCTCTTTGAATTATAATTTTCTGCTAATATGTATTTTTGGTCGACGTTAACATCTTGTCAGCTCCATATTCTTATTTAATTAATAATTAACATCTGATAACGCCTGGGTATCCCCATTTGTCGAGTAAAAATGAAAATGTGGGGGGGGGGGTGTCAAAGAAAAATATTATAATATGTAGGGGGGGGGTCATTATTAAATTTCTGCTCTTTTAAGGGGGGGGCTTTGAATTTTAAAAATTTAGGAAAGAAAAAATTCCTCTCCCCCCTTCCATAAATAATGACCGGTCCCTTAGTTTAATAAATAATTTTTAGCGATATGTCAACAATACAATTTCGCTTTATTTTCAAAGGCCATAAATCGCTAGAATATTGGTGTTTAGTAATACACTTGACATCCGTAAGTACAATTTCTTACGATGAATCGAAGGGTGTCGCTTTCTTCTCAAAATATAAAGCAGCGCAGCCAAACGTATAAACTCTGTGATTGTGGTATAAACTTGCGATTTGCGAAGTTGCGCTGTTTCCATGTCGAAATTCCTTGTAAAATTGTTCAATTTTCACGAATTTTCCTCACAATGCATGGTTGTTTATGGATAATTTGGGTAAAATTGGCAGGAACCTTATGGATAATTGGGGGGGAGGGAGGAATTAGGCAACTCATTAATATTCTATTTTGTGGCTATCGACGATTGGAGAACAGAGCCGAAACCTATACTCGCCTGGACACAGGTGCCCCAGCGAGTAAAAATAGACATTTGACTATGCCCAAGGGTCTATTATTTGCGTATACCTCTATTTAGCGGCCACCTCTATTAAGCGGCCACAAAGCTGATCCCCGAGGGTGGCCGCTTAATAGAGGTTCGACTGTATATATAAACTGGGTTTTATAACTTTTCCTTTTTCAAGATTTCATTGAAACATTCCCAAAACAACTGCACCGTGCCTGAATTTTCTCCATCACATTCCATTGTTGCCAATGGTATAAGTTTCTTAAGGACAGGATGATAGACACTGGCAGTTAAAGAAACCAATCCTCTACATCATTTCACCTTTCCGTCGAAAAAACAAAACTCGTCGCTTAGCTTGTTTTCCGATGTCGCGCAGTCCATATTTAGGGCGAATTGTGCTTTTAATTTACTTGATTTGAAAACATGGGAAGGCTTGCTTGGATTTTCACGCCGGTCATTCATGGTGTACACGTAATATGGGTCTCTTTGATCAGCGTATTGTTTAAAATGGGCTACAGCTTCAAAATTATGACCGTGCGGTTGATTTGAATCCTTGATCTTTTGCTTTTGGTTAGAAAGCCATTTTTTATCCATTATATTTCGTGCAGTCTCTTCGATAGAATTCCAGTCTTTCCCTGGACAAAACAGAGAAATTATCAGCCATTAATTTTTGTGATTAACTAGTAATAATTTTTGTGACGACAATTAAGTCCTCGCAGTAAAACTTTTGAACCAACTGAAAACAAATCACAGGGCAGAACCTACAGAGAGCTATTTTTATACCTTGCCTCATTTGTGAAACAATCAAATTGCTTTGGATTGTTGAGGGTGTGAGCTGTGGATTTTCGGTTAACTGTCGTTTTATTTCACGTACAGGTTTCTGTACAACTGGTTTTGCTGGACATGTGTGATCACCGCGGTGATATACACGGATTGATTTAGGTAAAAAAGCGACATAGCGTCGAGCCATACACGGCACATTCCTTCCTAGACGACGACACACCCGACATATGTGATTCTTGTCAAACTGTGTCCGATTTACCACTCCATATTCACGCTTGAAGTCACAATCCGGGTTGGTGCACTCGTACGAGCCGGCGAAATCAAAGTATCTTACTTTCGAAAATCCAGACTACTGTGTTCCTGAGTCTTTTTTCCAATTACGTCCATCACGAACTGCTGACAATTTAGTAGATCCTGAGCTTTTAACTTCATACACTTTTCTGCCGTTGATATCATTAGGCATGCTATCAACTCTTTCAACTTTCACGTCATCCCAGAACTGGGGACCAAATTTACTCTGCTTTGCGCGCGGAAGTAGGTCATCGTCGCTTGAGTCAGTGGAATATGTAGATGGTTCATAAACTCTATAAAACGAATAGATTATCACTTAATAATGGTGCACTACAGTATGTCATAAGTTTCTATTTCATTCCCTAATTGTTATTTCTAACCCATGACAAACCAAACAATTCATAAGATCAGTACCGAGCTTTGTACATCATGATTTACCGGCACAGACGACAAGCAATGTAGCATTTACTCTCTTTTTGCTAAAAAAGTATTTTAATTTAATACCTTTTTTTCGACACTGTTGCTTGACGTCGTGTATCTTTTTCATCATCAGAGCCCTTAAGGTAAAAACATGGAAATATTTTATATGTATATATGTGAATATTTTTAGGGTTATTTACTGAACACGTCAGGTCAATAAACTGTATACAGCAGTGGCATTTTGCATTTAAATGATGATTTCGATCGTGGTTTCGTTAATAACAATACGACCAAGTTTAATCGACGAAAACTGACAAAACTTTATTTTTGATATGAAAAGTTTTATTATATAACCTTATGAATTTTTAAACTTAATTTTGTCAAAATTCTGGCTAAAAAATTTTCGGAAAAATCCGGTCCGGATACAGAATATGGACTACGATCCGAATACGGTTTTTACGGACCGTACGTCAACCAATCTAAATCCAGGATTCTGCCAAACCATACAATAATGTTACGTAACATATATATCTATAAACACGATTTTTATTGTATATTTTTGTTCCTCTCGTTTTTTTCGATTTTTTTCCTTTTAGCGAAACAGTTTTTAATTATTTTTAATTGTTAGTACCTTTTTCCTGTTTCATTGTTCTGGGTTCTGGTGCTGCATTAGGCACAATGGTAATCTCATCATCTTCGCCAGATGATATCACAATTATTTCGGCTGCTTGATGATGTGTCGGTGCAGAAGATGTTGATGATGATACTGGTACCGTCAAATGTTCCCTTGTTGAAAATTTGAGCATCGTATCTGGTTCATCTGAGCTATCACCTGAAATCATTTCGGCTGCTTGATAATCATTTGGTGTAGAAGATGTTGATGGTGATACCGTCAGACGTACCGTCAGAGGTTCTGTCAATGAAAATTTGAGCATCCAGTCGGATTCATCTGAGCTTTCACCTGACCCAGCTGATGGCGATGATGTAACAAGCTACACGATAAAAACAGGAGAAGCTGATATTACGCGATAACGGTGTTGACTACAATTATGCGTTAAATTCACGACTGGTTAAAGATCGAACTTTATTAACATTTATGATATTACAAATATAATACAAAATATTTTCTTACATCATGAACTACTGGTAAACCAGATTTGAAGGCAGGTACAAACTCGTCCTGAGGTTTAAACAGCATATAATGTCTACCAGTGTATCCAAGAAAGATCTTGTTGCCACTCGAATACAATGGCGAAGGTGCTTCTTTGGTCAACCACTGAAGAAATATTGCAACAATTAAATTATTTTATTATATGCAAACTGATTCCGAAATTAATATTAAAAAGTTTTTTAAGATTGTAAACCTAGCAAGACTCCCCCCCCCCCCCACACACACACACACACACACATTCCATGACTTAATGCCACTGTGGTGAAGCATCTGAAACCAGCCTTTGGCCAATTAAAGTTACTGGTCTGTCTTTGCTTAAGGGTATACGTTTACACGCTGCGACTTGTCAACTACTATCCGTATCCTGGTG